TTCAGGAGAGCAAAAAAACTGTTTATTTCGCTAGTTCGTGAAGATTTTTCAATTTTTTCTTTTACAATATATTTTTACGACCATATTCTAAACCATTATATAAAAAGAATTTTAATTTTTGCATTATTTACAAAATTATTCACAAATTTATATCAGATAGAGCTTATTTTTCTACGAAAATGTTCATTCAACCAACAGATAGAGAGTTTTTCATGGAAACATAAAATTTTTATTTGAATTAAAATCAATAAATATTATACTTTATACAATTTAATGGAGGAAAAGAAACCAAATTGTTGAAAAAGCAACAGATTATAATGTTTTGGTCCAAAATCAATGTTATATGGTTAAACACGACAATAAAATTGATTTAATTAGTATCATAATGAGCGATATCTCAAAAACTATTAGACCGATTTTAAATATTTTGACGGATTTGTGTTCAGCATGTCCAAATTATTAAGAAGACTTGTTTTGCAACAGAAAATTATCCAAAGGGATCGAGTTTGAAGCAATTTTTGGATAAGATAGAGAGTTTTGCATTCAGAATTTTTCTTTTTTTAAGATAGAGAAATTTAAAAAATGCTATAAAATTGCCAAAAAATATTTTTTTTCTTTGAAATTTATATCACTGATGCGCGATAGTTTGCTGAATATTTTGCCATCAAAATCTCATTTTCATAAAAATGACAGATAGCGACTATTGAATATAGTCCCTCGATATACTTGTGTACATATGTACGTAAGTACTAACTTAAAGCTTTGAAATTTTCTTTTAAAATGAAAAAATAAATAATTTTTAGTCAAAACTAATAGTAGACGCAGTAGACGTGCTCATTGACGTCCTCATTGGCAATTTTTTTCTCAAAAACAAAAGTGCTTACTTAACTTCTTAGTTGCAGGCGATCGTAGTAAGTATTTACCTAACTCCCTACTTGTAAGCGAGCGTGGTAAGTACTTGCCTCCAATGTCATCTCCGTGATAATGACTTAAAATGTTATTGTTTAAGCAAATATTTCAATGTAAGTATTTGCTGGTTTATAATCAAAAATTTCAAAAGTCGTTAAATTTGAAATGCAATTTTATTTTTTTTTTGTATCGTTAAACAAGGTATCAGTGTTTATAGTGGATACCCATTCTCGTGTTGGGAAGTGGAGACAAACGTTTTCATACATATGTATGACAGACAATAACAATGCGTGTACAAACTTAAATATCAGAGAATTCATTTTATAAATAATCAACAAGTATCTTCTTCTATATGAAATTTTTTTGCATACAAATAATTGCTAATACAACTTTTAAACAAAATTTTGAATTTCTTAATTTTAATTCGGGGTTTTTTATGAATTACATACCTTTTTTCCATTAACAAAAAATATCAAAGTAGAAAATGTTGTTTTTAAATCTAGGATTCCATTATGTTCTTGCGTCATATTCGACATTTTTCTTTATTTTTTATTTTTTTTGTTTCACTTTAAATGCACACACGATCTATTATCAATTTTGTTCAATTTAACTATATTTACAATGTTGTTGTCTGTCTTTGTATTTTCTTATTTTCAATACAAATTTTTAAATCAAATATTCGTTTATAAACGAAATACAAATCTTGGAATTATTATTAAACACACTACGTCTTGACACACTGATCACACGTTGCAAACTGGAGAACTGAGAGTTGAAAACAAAATATTTATTTTATTTGAATATACTGGTAATAATTGTACACAACAACCTGCTTATCAATGCGTTAAGTGGAGAGTCGGTAAAATACTGTAGACGACATTTGTGTATTTTTGTAATATAGTACGTATGATATCGAGAGAAATCATTGTAAAACGAGGAGGAGAGTAATGGTTAAGGAAAACTATTTTTATATGAGCGTTCTACAATAACAAAACGTATGTGATATTTGTCTCTAATTATTTTATTTTACATTAGATCTTCGACATCAATTGTCAAGATATTCTCACCTCTGCATTCAGCTATATGTTCTCAAGATAATGCTGATTGTGGGTGTGGATCTAAGGTACATACGTGATTGACAAATTGTACTTTTTAACTGTTATAAAGTATTAGCCAAGGCATTTAACTATATTATATTAAGACTATAGTCTATACTAAATTATAGATCATACTACAGACTAGACTATAGACTAGTCTATTGACTAGACTATAGACAATACTATAGTATAGACCAAAGATTAGACTATAGACTATACTATAGACTGGACTATAGACTAGACTATAGACTAGACTATAGACTAGACTATAGACTAGACTATAGACTAGACTATAGACTAGACTATAGACTAGACTATAGACTAGACTATAGACTAGACTATAGACTAGACTATAGACTAGACTATAGACTAGACTATAGACTAGACTATAGACTAGACTATAGACTAGACTATAGACTGGACTATAGACTAGACTATAGACTAGACTATAGACTAGAGTACAGACTAGACTATAGACTAGACTATAGACTAGACTACAGACTAGACTATAGACTAGACTATAGACTATAGACTAGACTATAGACTAGACTATAGACTAGACTATAGACTAGACTATAGACTAGACTATAGACTAGACTATACTAGACTATAGACTAGACTATAGACTAGACTATAGACTAGACTATAGACTAGACTATAGACTAGACTATAGACTAGACTATAGACTAGACTATAGACTAGACTATAGACTAGACTATAGACTAGACTATAGACTAGACTATAGACTAGACTATAGACTAGACTATAGACTAGACTATAGACTAGACTATAGACTAGACTATAGACTAGACTATAGACTAGACTATAGACTAGACTATAGACTAGACTATAGACTAGACTATAGACTAGACTATAGACTAGACTATAGACTAGACTATAGACTAGACTATAGACTAGACTATAGACTAGAATATAGACTAGACTATAGACTAGACTATAGACTAGACTATAGACTAGACTATAGACTAGACTATAGACTAGACTATAGACTAGACTATAGACTAGACTATAGACTAGACTATAGACTAGACTATAGACTAGACTATAGACTAGACTATAGACTAGACTATAGACTAGACTATAGACTAGACTATAGACTAGACTATAGACTAGACTATAGACTAGACTATAGACTAGACTATAGACTAGACTATAGACTAGACTATAGACTAGACTATAGACTAGACTATAGACTAGACTATAGACTAGACTATAGACTAGACTATAGACTAGACTATAGACTAGACTATAGACTAGACTATAGACTAGACTATAGACTAGACTATAGACTAGACTATAGACTAGACTATAGACTAGACTATAGACTAGACTATAGACTAGACTATAGACTAGACTATAGACTAGACTATAGACTAGACTATAGACTAGACTATAGACTAGACTATAGACTAGACTATAGACTAGACTATAGACTAGACTATAGCCTAGACTATAGTCTAAAGATTATAGACTAAATTATAGGGAATAAAAAATACTATAGACTAGACTATAGACTAAACTATAGACAATAAAAAATACTATAGACTATAGAAACTATCGACTATATTATAGACTATACTAAAAACTAGACTTTCGACTAGACTATAGACTAACCTATAGACTAGACCATAGACTAGACCATAGACTAGACTATAGGCTAAACTAAAGGCTAGACTAAAGACTATTGATAGACAATATATTATTTACTAGACTATACTATATATTAAACAAAAGACTACACTATAGACTAGACAATAGTATAAAATATAAATTATACTGTAGCCTAGACTATAGACTAAACTAGTGATTAAGCTATAGACTAGATTATAGATTAGACTATAAACTAGATAATATACTACATTATAGACAAGACTATAGACTACACTTTAGACTAGACTATAATCTAGTCTCTAGTATTGTCTAAAGTATTAACTGGCTGTAGATTCGAATATGGTAGAGTATAGTCGATACCATAAACTAAATTACAGACCATAGACATACATACATAGATTATAATAGATAATATAGACTAAACAAGACTATTAGAAACTATAGTGCATATTAGTCCAACCAAAGCCTCAGCTATATCCGCGAATATGAACTAGAATATGAACAAGAATATGATCCAAACTGTAGACAATACTATATTCGAGTTTATAGACTTAATATAGTTGATATTAATACAGTCGAAGCTTTAGACTACTCCGTAGTCGAAACTAGAGAATATTACAATAATTGTAGTTTATAAAACTGTAGTCGAGCTATTCTAAGATCAAATTAAAATATAATCGTGCCTATAGGTTAGACTGTATAGTACGCTATAGACCAAACTCGTGACTAAAGACTAAATGTCTATGGACTAGATTATAATATGGACTACATAGAAAACAGACAAACAATGGGATAAACTATAGAATAAAGAATAATATCTACGACGTAGAACTTGTTTGTTTGTATAAGACAGTCCCTATTAAGACACTCTATTGTATACAAAAGTACCCAGCAAAAAATAATTGATGTCATACTTTACAAACAACATCTTAATCACATCTTAAAATGCGATTACATATATTTTTTACTTTTATAAACCAAATATTTCCTTACAAATGAAAACCCAGTTAAAGCAAATAACATATTAGTAGTACATCAAGATTTGGCGAAAGAGTAGTGAAATTTACATAAGCGTGTCATTAAGAGAATGTGTTTTATTTTTGACATCCAAATATCGTATTTTTACTGCTTCTAAAGATAAGATTAGATTTAGTTCAAAGTTGACGAAAATGAACAACATCCCTCCAATGACACGCTAATGTAAAATTCATAGGTTTTACACCCGAATTTGAAGCACTTCGGGTTACTAGTTGTGATGAAAATACTACATCTTTTTCCACACTTTTTTGCTCGGTATGTAAATCCCCCTTTAACAGGTGTCAACTGATAAATCTTCTGAGAATTTAAAATTTTCAAACAATATTAAAGTTATTCCAAAGTTTTAATACAATTTAAAATCAATACAATTCACTACAAGCTTAAATTATAAAATTTTAATAGCTTCGTCGTTCATACACTCACACTTTACAGGAACATATCATAAAAATAACAATTAAAACCACCATTAATTAACTAAATAACAATAAATTACTACGCCGTCTTAAGATCAAGTTGTTTCTCTATTTCAGTGCCTTCATACATGGCTTGTTTACGCATAGCCTGCTCCAATTGGGCATACTCAAAACGATGGACAGACCATTGGTAGCTAAAAGTAAATAAAATATTTTAAAATTTAATTGCATTTATTAAATGTTTCCCCGTAACTAACCGACACCAACCCCAATAGGCTATAGTACCACAAAAGAATGTACCAAAGCCCACATGTGTCGAGAAGGTAGTGCGTGATGTTCCCAGAAATGTTAACAGACCAATGCCGACACCACCGCTTATGCCATATAAGAAACTACTGCGAAAACAGGGTATTTGTGAAATGTCACGGCCGAATAAAGTTACACCCTAAACGATATAAATAAATAAAAATATATATTATTTCAATTGCATTACAATAAATCATTTACAAACCTTTTTTGGTTCCTCTTCCATGGTGGTTACGTTAAAATTTACAATGCGTAAAAAATTGTTGTTGTTGTATCAGCTGTTTAATGTTTTGACATGTCCCCCACACAAAAATAAACAAAATGTAGTGCTGCCATATTTTTATTGTTGAATGTCACATTTTTTTTTTTTTCATTTGAATACCGTTATGGTAAAAAAAAATTGGCTTGTGTTTTCACAGCATGTCGGAGTTTGTTTATTAAATTTGTGAAATTGTAAAAATTTTGTTTAAATCATGGTTTAAATTGTTAAAAGTTGGTTCTATTAATATGTGTTAACATGTGCATTTAATAGTGTTGCGTAAAAAGCTTTAATTAATTCGAAAAATGTTAAAAATGTGCAATTTTAATACACTATGCAATTATAAAGGAAAAAATGGCCGCAAAATCAACAGGTTTGTGAGAATTTGTAATTTTCTTTACATAAATTGAAATATTTTAACAATTTTACAAGCTATTTATAATAAATTGTTAGCTTAAAATGGTGAAATTTATAAATATTTAGGTATGTCTATTGTTAAAATTGTTGTGACCAGTAACACTTTTGCCTGTTGCTGTTTTCCTAAAATATTATAGAAATATCTATGTATGTACATATGTACCTTTTTTCATTACTATGAATAATTCAGTCTTCTGGCGGAAGGCCGGTTTGTTTATTAAATTTGCGAAATTTATATAATTTAGTTCAACTCATAAATTGTTAAAAAATGGTTCTATTAAACATTAATTAAAATGTTAAAAATGTGCATTTTTTAATGTGTATACCTACATATGTATGTATGTAAATATAAGGGAAATGCATTTCCATGGTTAGAGCAGGTTAGTAAGGATTTGTAAATTTTGTTAAATTGAAATCTTTTAACAATATTACAAGTTGTTTACATACTTTCTGTAAATTGATAACATAAAGTATTAAAATTGGATAAAGCTTCACGTTTGTTAAAATTGTTTTTTTACAAAACCACTTTGGGAATCATATAATAGAAATATCTTTATGTACCTACCTTGAAATGTCTTTGTTAAAATTAGCTTAGTCTACCGGCTGTAGATGTAGAAAGCATATTCAAGAGTTCATAGTTCGTTTTAAAATATGATGTTGTGTGCTCCTTTACTACTGCCTCTGGTGGTAATCGATCCTACAAACTCCGGTCTGACAATCTATAACAGTAACTAGTAACCTACCTGTGGCCCTCTTTACTACAAATTTAAAGCACGAAAGGTGTTTCAAAAATGGTTGGATAGATGACATAAACAATTTTATAAATTAAAGTGTCCTTGCGTTGTTATAAGATCATAAAAATAGTCAAAACTAACGAAAATCGATGTTGTGAAAATTTTTAGGATTTTTCAAATTTAAATTTCTTTCGTAATTCAGCTCTGGGTGGAGAAAGACCATCGTGCGTCATTTCCTTCATCAGTTAAGTGCGATTAGACCGTCATTGTATTAACTTAAGTTTAGATTTTAATTTTGATTAAGGTGGAGGACCAAACAAAACTATTTGGATTCTGGCCAGTGGTCAAGATAGATAGTCTTAGTTGCAGCTAAGCAAAATTAAAATACAAACAAACTTAGAAAATATTTTTTTAAGCAGGAGTCAGAGCATCATTGTAGTAGATCGGATCTCGGCAAATAGTTGCTAAGCGTCGGCAACAAGAAAATTCTTTAAATATTGCTACCAAATCCTTAAGATGTTAAGAAAACTTCTTTACAAATGCATTTAAAGTAAAATATAATATTAGAACATCTAAAGAAAATAAAAATATTCCTTTAACTAAATGGAGGCATATGAATTGTTCCATAAAGATTTTAGAGTAACTGGGAATACTATAATGGCCCATGATAATAAGGTTGTCTACTTTTTCAGTCGTGGTAGACCTTTCCCTGGAAAAGCCCATATTAATTAAATAAAAAAAATACATTTTTTTTGGCTTTTTGATTTTTAATTGATTTTTATTTCTTAAATAATTTGACCTTAAAAACTAATCTTAAAATTAACTTATACATATTTAAATTATTGTGCACAGCTCATGTTATACATTTTAAGTGTTAGGCCTACAGCTTAATTACACTAGATAATCTTATTCCTTTAATACATTCTAGTCAAATGGATTTAAGTAGGAAACTATTAGGCAACGTATCAGGAATGTTGACTAGGGATAATATTTAGTTGACACAAGTTTAATCTACTTCTTCAACGGTGGGACCACCATAATTTCCACCGCCACAACCTCCAGCTTGTTGACCACAACCTGCTTGTGGACCAGCAGCACCTCCACTAGCCTGTTGGTGTAGTCTCGTCATAATGGGTTGACATAATTTTGTCAATTCTTCCAATTTGTATTCGTATTCTTCTTTTTCAGCGGTGGTATTGTTATCCAACCACTTGATGGTTTCTTCACATTTCTCCATGACACGATCTTTATCGGATTTAGGTATTTTATCGCCTGCATCTTGGGTAGATTGTTTGACATTGAATACATAAGCTTCCAATTGATTGCGTGCTGCTATACGTTGACGATGTTTTTCATCTTCATCTGCATATTGTTCAGCTTCACGGACCATACGATCTATTTCGGCTTGGGACAAGCGACCCTTATCATTTTTGATGACAATATTTTTGGCATTACCAGTGCTCATTTCTTTGGCTGTTACATTCAAAATACCATTAGCATCCAAATCGAATGTTACATCTACTTTGGGCACGCCACGAGGTGCTGGTGGTATACCGGTCAAATTGAAGGTACCCAATAGATTGTTGTCTTTGGTCAGGGCTCGTTCACCTTCAAAGACCTGTATTGTCACAGCTGGTTGATTGTCAGCATACGTGGTAAAGGTCTTTGATTGTTTGCAGGGTATGCGACTGTTGCGTTCAATTAATTTGGTCATTACACCACCAGCCGTTTCAATGCCCAATGAAAGAGGTGCCACATCCACTAGCAAAACATCTTGAATAGCACTGCTCTTGTCGCCACTGAGAATAGCTGCTTGAATGGCGGCACCATAGGCCACAGCTTCATCAGGATTAATGGACAAGTTGAGAGTTTTTCCACAGAAGAATTGTTGCAGTAGATTTTGGACTTTAGGAATACGTGTAGAACCGCCTACTAAAACAATATCGTCGATTTGGTTCTTATCCATTTTAGCATCATTTAAGGCTTTCTCCACCGGCTGTAAGGTGCTGCGGAATAAATCGCCACATAGTTCTTCAAAACGAGCTCGGCTTATTTTAGTGTAAAAATCCACACCCTCGAATAAAGCATCTATCTCTAATGTAGCCTCAGTACTGGATGATAAAGTACGTTTTGCACGTTCAGCTGCTGATCTTAGGCGACGTAAAGCTCTAGGATTCGAACGCAAGTCCTTTTTGTATTTACGTTTGAATTCTTCGGCAAAGTGATTGACTAAACGATTGTCAAAATCTTCACCACCCAAGTGGGTATCGCCAGCTGTAGCACGCACTTCAAACAATGAACCCTCATCGATGGTGAGAATGGAAACATCAAAAGTGCCACCACCCAAATCAAAGATTAGAACATTACGTTCACCCTTTAAGTTTTTGTCCAGGCCATAAGCTAAAGCAGCGGCTGTCGGTTCGTTGATGATTCTCAATACATTAAGACCAGCAATAGCTCCAGCATCTTTGGTGGCTTGTCTCTGGGAATCATTAAAGTAGGCTGGCACTGTAATGACTGCATCGCGCACTGTCGTACCTAGAAACGCCTCAGCTGTTTCCTTCATTTTTGTCAACACCATGGAACTAATCTCCTCGGGAGCAAATTTCTTTTGTTCCCCCTTAAATTCTACTGAAATCTTTGGTTTTCCACAATCATTTACCACTTTGAAGGGCCAGTGTTTCATGTCATCCTGAATCTTTTGATCTTCGAATTTACGACCAATTAAACGTTTTGCATCGAACACTGTATTCTGGGGATTCATGGCAACTTGATTCTTGGCCGCATCACCAATGAGACGTTCCGAATCTGTGAAGGCTACATAACTGGGTGTTGTGCGATTGCCTTGGTCGTTGGCTATGATATCCACTTTACCATGTTGGAAGACACCAACACAGGAGTATGTTGTTCCCAAATCAATACCAATTGCTACCATTATGATTTCTGTTGTTATTCACTTTTTTAATGCACTTAGATTGTTAAGTATTTGCTACTTTTAATATATACGTTTAGTTAGAATTTAAAAATTTACTTAAATATTTTTTGCTTCGATGTCAACTTTACACTTTGATTTCTTTTACTCAAATGTGACGAGCGACTCAATGTACTCGTCTTTTATACTTGCTGACTCTTTTGCATTAACTCAAAAAGAAAATGTGAGAATTTTCTCAGTATTTCTGGAAAATTGTAGTAACGTATAAATACATATACCATAGAAAAATGATATATACTAGGTATCTGTGCAATTATAAATAATATTCGTGCAATTTACGTTAAAAATATATTTAAGAGATACAAAAGAGAGTTCTGTGTATATTTGTTTTGTGTGTGTGTGAGAGTTTCACATGTATTTTTGCACGAATACGGTTGAAAATTTTCTCTTTCTCGTAGTCTGTTTGTAATTGCTGACCTACTTCACACAGAATAATATTTACAATGTATTGTGTAAAAAAATGAGGATACTCGAATGTTCCTGAGAATTCCTTGACCTTGACCATGTTGTACTGCTTGTGGTTTAACTTTTCATTGAGTAATAAAATTTAATACATTGTATCTATCTTTACGTTTAATGTCTCAAATTTTAAATTTGTAATCACTTTTACATTGTAAGAAATTTGTTCTATATTCCGTTCGAAGATTTTAAAATTCGGTGCAGATAGATATCTATCTATCTATCTATCTATAGATAGATAGATAGATAGATAGAGGATAGATAGATAGATAGATAGATAGATAGATAGATAGATAGATAGATAGATAGATAGATAGATGATAGATAGATAGATAGATAGATAGATAGATAGATAGATAGATAGATAGATAGATAGATAGATAGATAGATAGAATAGATAGATAGATAGATAGATAGATAGATAGATAGATAGATAGATAGATAGATAGATAGATAGATAGA